GAAAAAACTATTGTACTTGAAAAGGTAGACTTCTTTGTGTGTTTGTGGATGATGTAGCTGAGGACAAAACTTCTGTATAATAATATAAACCAACTGCAAGAATAGCCATACATAAGGAAAATGAAAGAGAAGATCAGAGGAACAGTATATTCTGAGATGGAGATAGCAACTTGAGAAGATAAAAAAATAAGCCTAGGAGTGGGAATTGCAATCTTGCCTCAGAAGTGCAAATAGCCCAGAAAACATCAACAGCATATGGAAAAAAGTGGACATAGCAGGACTATCAGAATAACACTATCAGAGTTACGAGGGCAGACTAAATGAACTAAACCTGTAATCTTTTATGAGAAGTGTCTAAAGCGACATGATCAAAACATACAGGATATTGAGGAACATGGTGAACAAGGACAGACCATTTCCAACTGCTAGAGAAGAAAGGGTTAGAAACTTAACTCAATGTACTGCTTTAAAAGAAGATGTATAAAATTATTAGGAAACTTGAGAGAAGTATTGTATCAGATAACAAAGAGTGAATAGTTCAGGCCCAGAGCTAATCTACTTGCAACTGCCAATTAGAGCAGAGTTGATCACCATAGGAAAGATGTATGAAGATGTTTCAAGTAATTCAATCATTGTCTTGGAAGTATGTCCTTTTTAAGAATCTTTTCTAGCAGCTCATACATTACCTGCCTATCTTTTGCACATCTTCATTGTACTGTAACTCACTCATTACACCTTTTACCTTTTTACCTTGCAATGATTTCAGGGTTCAACGTCCCCGTGGCCCAGTCCCCGACCAGGCCTCCTGGTTACTAGACTGGTCAACCAGGCTGTTGGATGCGGCTGCTCGCAGCCTGACATATGAATCACAGCCTGGTTGATAGGATATCCTTTGGAGGTGTTCATCGAGTTCTCTCTCGAACACTGTGAGGGGTCGGCCAGTTATGCCCCTTATGTGTAGTGGAAGTGAGTTGAACAGTCTCGGGCTTCTGGTGTTGATTGTGCTCTCTCTCAGAGTACCTATTGCACCTCTGCTCTTCAATGGGGGTATTCTGCATATCCTGCCATGCCAACCTGTTGACATTTTGCACATCCTCATTGTACTGTACTTCATCCATTATACCTGTTGATCATTTGCACATCTTCACGGTAATGTACATCATTCATCACCTGTATATCTTCAACTTCATTAAATTGCTCATCATACTCTTCTCCCAGTTTTCACTGCTTGATGTACATTAAAACTCAGTCTACATAAAACTAATTCATCAGGTGTTTGATCAATGCTTTAGAATCATCAGCACTTAACACTTTCGCGCTTTCGATTAGAGATAACTCGTCACTGGTTTTTCTTACGATTCCGCATAACTGCCTACTTTTCTCGTCAATCGAAAAAATATTTCTATAAATTCCATTTTTTAACCGAAATGGATGGGGATACTCTCAGATTGTTCTCCATGAAATTCCCGTTCTCCCTCACCGAACACATGGCATCTCGGCCTACCCGGTCACGTGGTCGGCCCATTGTTTTGTTGACACGCCAAGTGCCCACACTGCGCTCCCCTCTCGCGGCAAACGTGACTCGTTTTACGCATTTATTTCCGTTCCGTTTCCGTTCTCGTGTACCTAAAACCCATTCAATACCTTCAACATGGATGCTGCACCAGGAACAAGCAGTGGAACGCAAAACAAAGGTAGGAAATCTAGGAAAGCAGAAGAGATCGCCAGGATTTTCGATCTGTATCGTGGGGTCAATCTCACTCCATCCAAGATTCCCGACGTTGTTGAAGCCTTTTCAGGGTCTTCTGATGATGATTTGGAGGCTGACGAACCGGAAAATGATGTTCTTTATGAGGTTTCCTCAAGTGATGAAGATATTTCGAGTGAGAGTGATGAAGAAGCGCCAGCCCCGCCACGCGGTAACCGCACGTGTCCGGTACCAAAGAGGGCTAGGCTAGGTGATGAGTGGAATCGTAGCAATACTCCTCCCATCGTTGATGACTTTACTGCAACCCCTGGCCTAACAATTCCACTACCTGCTACTCCATTGCAGTTTTTACAATTATTTTTCACTAGAGCAGTGGTTGAATACTTAGCGTATGAAACAAATTTGCATGCCACACACGTCATACATCTCATGGCTGAGTCAGCAAGAAAAACGTGGAAACCAGTGTCGGTGAAAGAAATGGCCCTATATTTGGCCCTGTGCATACTGATGGGCATAGTGAAGATGCCTACAATGAGGATGTACTGGCAGACGAATCAGATGTGGCATTGTCGATTCTTCAACTTGTTTATGTCGTCTGCTCGGTTCCAACACATTTCTAAGTTCTTCCACATGTATAACAAAAAAGGCATTCCAGTGAATAATAGTGACCGATTGATAAAAGTTAGACCACTAATGGACTATTTTTCAGAAAAATTTGAATCTGTATATATCCCCAAAAAAGAATTGAGTCTCCATGAGGGTACAATGGCTTGGCGAGGCCGCCTCTCTTTCAAGGTCTACAATCCCAACAAGCCTGATAAATATGGTGTAAAATTTTATATGTTGGCCGAAGGGAAATCAGGCTACATATATAAATTTGATGTGTATTGTGGAATTGGAAAAACGACAGTGGAAACCGTGATGGGGTTGATGGCGCCCCTAGTCAACAAGGGTTATCATTTGTATATGGATAACTACTATAACTCGGTAAGCCTAACAGAACAATTACGTGAAGTTGGTGTTTACACATGTGGCACACTTAGACTCCAACGTGGCGCCCCCAAGGATCTGCAACAAGTTGTAAAGGGTAAAATGGCAACCGACACGACCGTATACATGCGTAAGGATAACACCTTTGTTATAGTTTGGAAGGACAAGCGCCCCGTCTCTGTCATCACCAATATCCACAATACCGACACTACTCAAGCACAGCGCAGGAAACGCGTTCGTAAAGGTGACGGGAGAACTGGAGTAGAAATTGTGAAAATGAACAAACCCAAGGCCATAGTGGATTACAATAAGTTCATGAAAGGTGTTGATCATTTTGATCAAATGGTCAAATATTATGAGTTTGGAAGAAAAACCCACAAATGGACCAAGAAGATCACTTTCTATTTTCTGCAAATGGCCATGCACAATGCATACGCATTGTATAACCACTACTCAACAGATACAAAAAAACTAACACTATTAGAGTTTCACGCAGTAGGAATAAAAGCCTTATTGGCGTGGAACAGCAAGGAATGGCCAACAACAACAACTATACCACATGTTCCCGACATAGATGCCAGCACAGCTCCTGCTGACGCGGCAGTTTCAACACCCGGGCCATCTGGTGCGAGGCGTCCTCTGTTCACCTCAACACCTAAAGCCCACTCATCAACCACAAATTCTGAAATGGACATTGAGGACATAGAACCACTTGATGTTTCTGATTTCATAGAAGATTCTACTACAAGTTTGGTGGTTCCTGTAGAAGACAATATTCTTCCAGTGAATCCAAAAAATACAAGAATTATAGATTCAGAACAACGTCTCAACTACAAGTTGACGCATGAACTCGTGCACTTGGCTAAAAAAAAAAGATGCCGTGTTTGTTACAAGTCTGGCAAAAGGAGGGACGTGATATATGGATGTAAAACTTGTGATGTGGCACTGTGCGCTGCGCCTTGCTACACAAGGTACCACCGAAAAAAGATATTTTGGGTGGAGAAAAAATAACCACCGGCAACAGCTTCACTCCACCTAAGAAACATCAGATGAGCAACTTCAGGATCAGAAGCCTGAAGATGGTGGAGTGAAGAAAAAATGCTCAATTGTTGATCTTCAATCAACATAGACAGGGTAAGTACACCTATTTTGAATTTTTTATCATCTATAAGAAGTTATATTATATACGTTTTGTAGAGAATTTATTTGCAAATTTTTTGGTACCAGAATGAATATTATATCACATAAACTTCTATGAGTAAAAAAAAAAACACAAAGTATGTTTGGGGGTGTGGCGGGTGTGGCTCTGGGTGTGGCGGTCGTGTGGCAGTGGGTTCCCTTTAGCCGTTGATATATCCAACACGTGGGAAATATTTGTATGTGTTATGTATATGTCTCTGTAGGGAATTTTACTGCGATCACTGTCATACAAATTATAAAATGTTTCAACAAGTATAAACATGACAAACATCAAACGAACGAAAACAATGCGTTCGTTTCTGCCGCGAACGCATACTGAGCGACGTGGTTCTATATTTGGCGCTTCTCTTACACATGCTTTGTACAAATGTTATACATTTCATCTTATAGAAAATTTTATTGCGAACACATTGGTATAAAAAAGAAATACGTACATAGAAAAGTAGGGTCAGGAAACGTATAAATGTATAAACTTTCCAAGCATGATTTCCCCCCTGTGTTTTCGCCAGTGTGCTCGCGGCTAACTACTCTCCACTTCACACGCTATTGCGGGTGGGCAATTACCTATATTAAACATTCATATGCATATGTCCGTGTAGAGAATTTTATTGCGATTCCAATGATACCAAAATTACCGATGTAGGACAACTGTAGGCTTCGCAACCATTACGAGAGTGGAAACATTTTGTTGCTGTTTGGCGCTCTCGGCGAGTGATCTGCATAGTTTTTTATTTGGTGTTGATACTCCTTATGCTTGGGCGGCATTTTATAGGTATGCTCTTATAGACAATTTCATTGCGAACACAGTGATACCAAATTTAAATACGTGCGCCTTCAATTATTGTCAGGACAGTCAAAAGAGTGTACACTTTTTCGGTCTTACGCGTAGGCGCGCAAAATGCCGAAAGCATCTAGGGTATTGATTTTTTTTGAGCGCCGAGAGCGCGAAAGTGTTAAAATTGTAGGGGAATTAATAATGAAAGGTATTTGGGCAGAACATTCATATGTAACCTACTTATATGTGAGAACTGTGAGAACCACTATGTTCAACGCAGTATGATTTGGCTTGTGTTGTGGATGAATTTAATTTTTTCATCCACAGGCCCCACTTGATGCCCGTGGTGAAGAGGTTATACAGGACAAGTCAACAATGTCAGTGTCGCAGCTGCTATTGGTGGACCTTGCTGGGTCAGAGCGCAACAGTCGCACTAAAGCTGAAGGGGCCAGGGTCAAGGAGGCTGGTAAATGTTTTCATATCTTTTATCTTTAGTATTCATAATATTTTCCTTTGAAGGAAAGGAAAAGTACAATATACTAGAATAGGTAAACTGACAGAGCACAACAAAAAATACCAAGATAGCAAAGGAAATTATAGTAGTTTCAATTTAATTCAGTTTAAGATTTGAAAATGCAAAGATGATTATTGAGATTCTAATGTATAAGTTAAAAATTCTTCGCTTGTAAACTTGTAAATTTACAGGTTTTTCGTAATTACCTAAGTGTAGCTACAGGATGATAGATATGATTGTGGTGTTCCATCTTTCCTGCACTCTTTCATATACAGTAACTCTTTGAAACTGCACAGGTGTGGCCTCCACCACCACCTTACTCAACTCGTTACAACCATCTACCACTCTTTTTACAAAAGAAAACTTTCTAATATCTTTTTGGCACCATTGTTTCCTTAGCTTGAATCTATGGCCTCTTGTTCTTGAGGTTGCCTGTTTCAGCAAGTATTCTTTGTCAATTTGGTCATTTCCTGTTATTATTTTGTATGTGGTGATCACATTTTCTCTTTCTTCTACCTTCTAGCTTTGGCATATTTAATGCCTCTAGCCTTTCTTCATAACTCATGTTTTTCAGGTTTGGAAGCCATTTTATAGCATGCCCTTGCACCGTTTTCAGTTTTTTATGTACTTTTTGAGATATGGTCACAATACAACCGTTATATATTCCACTTTTGGTCTCAAAAGTCATGAACAGTTTCTTCAGTTCAGTATTTCACCATCCACATAATTAAAAGCAATTATGAAGTTGGAAAGCGATGCATATGCTCCTTTACATAATGTTGTTTGTGTTACTTTGATGACAGTCTACTATCCAAAACGACGCCAAGATCTTTCTTTGTTAAGAGCTCTTTAATTCATTTCCACATAATTTGTATGTTGTGTATGGTTTATTATCTCCCATTCCATATTCATTACATGGCATTTATTCACATTTGCCACATAGTGCTCCGAGCACTATTTTTGTCCATGTCCGTTTGAAGGGCATTACAATCTAGGCTTTTCTGTCTTCCCTAGTAGCTTAGCATCATCAGCAAACATGATCATAGAATTCTGTATTTCTTCTGGTAGATTTTTTATGTAGACGAACATTGCTGGCATAAGAACTGAACCAACCCTGTGGTACTCTGCTAGTAACACTCCTCCAGTCAGATACATTGTCTCTGATTACTGCTCTCATCTTTCTGTCAGAACATTTTTCATCCATATCAGCAGTCTTCCTATCACCCCTCCAGCATCTTCCAGTTTTCAAAAACAACCTCTTGTGTGGAACTGTCAAGTCTTTTTAGGTCCAGATAGACACAGTCAACTCAACCATCTTTTTACTGTAGAATCTCTTTGGCTCCATCATGAAAACTAAGTAGATTTGTTACACAGGTCTTCCTATTCGAAAACCATATTGTCTGTCTGCTATTATGTCATTCCTCTAGGTGTTCTACTCATTTGATTATAACTATTTTTTCTAGTGTTTTGTCTACTACACTTGTTAATGATGTGGGTCTATAATTTAGAGGAGCTTTTCGGCTACCATTTTTGTAGAATGGAACTATGTTTGACTTTTTCCATGTATCTGCTAAGATACATGGAAACATCCTTGTGTACATTCTGTGGACAAGGATGTCTGGAATATCAAATGGAGTGGAATGATCAGCTCGGTTGCACATTCTCTCGGCACTTAAGATGATGCGTGTCAGAAATTTCCAGCACTTATTAATTTAAAGTTTAATTCCAGTCTCGACAAAATTTAGTTATACAGTACATTATGAGATTAAACATGTGATTTGCTCATATACATATACATATATATATATATATATATATATATATATAATATAGGTGCCCGCCCCCAGTTAGCTAACTATTCTAGAGCACCCCCAGAGTTCCTACTGCAACCCCTCTCGTTCAACACCTTGTAACCTAGCTATTCGATTACCTAGGTGCTATGACTACAAGGCTCTGTAACTTGATCAGCTACCCGCAACTCTAGAGAACTCTAGAACACATTTTCACTGCTACAAATGTATAAGAGAACCGAAAGGGAAGACATGGATAATGAAGTAATTAATGAGGGTTTGGGGTGAGAGAGGTAGAGGTGGGAGGAGCGAGGAGGGTCGTCAGTTGAAAGGGAGAGTTTGGAGAGGGGTGGAGGGAGAGGAGTAGATAGGTAGAAGTAGAAAAGTAGATAGAAGAAGGGCTGCCACCATCCATTCTGGTCAGTACATACAAGACAAGGAATGGAACTTGTCTGTACTAAAAGATGTTATTAGCATGTATCAACTCTAAACATGTACTCATTAAAATCATGAAACCAGTAACCGCAGAGGCTCTCTCATCTCAACTCAAAAAGCTCTACGGAACAAAGTTAAAGACAATTTAAACAATAAAGTCATCAATTATATTTCACATGATAAGTATCATAGTATAATTTAAGCAATTCAACTTAATGTTCAAGATTAATATACAAAGCGAGTCATTACCCAAGAATTCAAGAACCCTACAACTGTCTGCCCCTGATCATCACACAACACTTGTAAGCACGACTAAGTCATCGTCACATTCACTCACCGAGGACTGAGTCTAAGTTGAATAGAGAGGGCGGATGAGGGTCTGCAGTTGTCAAGCAGCATCACCTCCCTGTCCGTCCGACAGCCTATCTCGGCAGCTGTCCTCTGCTCTGCTCTGCTGGCTGTTCTCCTATTGCTTATCCTCTTGAATCTACAGCTCCCTCAGTATATATTGGGAAACCTAGTAGCTAACTCCGCCTACAAGTAGATAGCCCCAGGCTCTCTACCAACCCACTCCTTAAATGTCGGCATGTTTGAAGGCTATCAGGCTACAATTATCAGATTAGCAGAAGCAAGGTGAAATTCGCACGAGCTGACCTCAGGTCAACTTGAGGTCATTAACACTTAGAGGTGTGAGTTTCAGGCCGACAGAATGGCGCCTCTTAAATCTTGTCTGGCTTGATTCATGTACTATAATTATTTAAATAAAACTAAACAAAACACCTTTACGGTGTTACAGAGGCTAGGCGTAGACCCGGTAGACCCAGACATGTCTGTCGGTGCCTGTTCGCAGATGCCAACTGTGTGTAATTCATAAATAAAACTATATTGTATAATTATTAAACAGGAAACAATAAAACATGTTAATGATTAATAATGTATATTAATACACAAAAATTAACATATTTTGGCATAAATATTTTACAGCCAAGATTAAATTTTTTTTAATATAGTATGAGCGAGAGGTTTGGCAACCATCTCGTGGTCAGCAGTCCTATCCTTCCCTCCGCCTCCCTTACTGCCTCCCTCACCACCACCACCAACTCTGCCTTCCCTGACAACAGCTTCCACCGCTAACACTGCAACCCGCTCTTGCACAAGCCAGTAAATATATGACTTATTGCTTATAGTCAATATTTCGCTTATAAATAAGTAAATATGGGACCTATGCCAAGTCATATTTTTTCCAAGGCACTAACTCTTCCTCTTTGTTTTATTAATCAATAGAGATTTTATACAAAATTTGACAATATCCTAAGTTACTTTAAAATTTATATAAATATTTTTATTTATTTTTTTATTTTTTTTATACAGCTGTAATATCAATATAGGTATACATTAAGTACTAATTGTTATATCTTAACATACTAAGCAGGTTGGGTTAGATCGGTGTTTTCTATTCAGCTTTTCAAGGTAAACTCAAATATTCACAATAAATTAATGTCACATATGCACTTATTCATAACCAAAATATTGACTACAGTATAAGCAGGTGCGAGAACGGGTTGCAAACCACTTGCCTCCCCTGACAACAGCTTCCACCACTGACACCACGTGCCTGCCCAGCAACAGCTTCCACCACTGACACCACCAGTCTTTCCTGACAACGCTAACTCCACCTGCCTCCAATGAGAATAACTTCCGTCACCTGTTTCCTGACACTAAACCCCCAACTACTGACATCACTTGCCTCCTGACACCAACCCTCACCAATGACACCACCTGCCTCCCCCTGACACCATTTTATCATTTTTCAACTATTTCTCCCTGGAAACAATGGGTAAGCAAAATAAAACACTGTACAGCTGTTTACACTTTGGTGAATCATGGTTGGTGAGTCGCCTCAGACGCTCAGTCTCGGTAATTGCTTGAACAAACAATCCTCACTTAATCGAACATCTGTGTGTTCCTCTGAACATTTAGTACCGAATTCAATTTGTTCGGATCATCCAGGAATTCGATAGAGCGGGGTTCGTTAGAGTGAGGATGCACTGTACAGTATACTAAATAAAACTGCTTCTCCCAAAATAAAAAACTAACCGTTCTGGACGCATCCAGAGTGGGAGGGAAGAGGAGGAACCATTGCACTTGAAGAGAGAAAAAAATAGTCATGGTGCAAGCCAAGTGGCTGAGCACCTAATTATGCAAATTTCTTTATTTCTTTATTTATATATTTGTTATTTATATATACAAGAGTTTTAACATTCTTGTAAAGCCATTAGCACGCATAGCATTTCAGGCAGGTCTTCAATCCTAATTTTTCCCCAGAATACGGCCCGCTAAATTATTTAACAACCAGGTACCCATTCACTGCTGGGTGAACAGAGGGTACAGTTAAGGTATGACATCTGGTCAATCCTCGTCGACCAGGATACGAACCCAGGCCAAAGCGCTCACGAAGCTCTGGGCAAGTGTCTTATCACTACACCATGGGAACTGCTATATCGAAGCGTACCGCAAGAATTATTATCCGACAATTAAGAAAGGATGTCTTCGACCACGACAACCACAGAGAAGTGCTCATTGTTTCCGTCTATTACCCATTAACCATTTTATGGCCATAAAAGTTAGTCTTAGGGTGGTGGTGATGAGGTATGGTTCTTGGCCCTGCAGGGTAAGTCTTATTATTAACTCAGATTGCATTAATGACTGTATAATAATAAAATAATA